TGGTCGTTATATCCGATGAATATCGATAAACTTTCGTCGTTGTAAGCGATATGTCGCTGTATCCGATGTTGTTATAAGCGGTTTCTTTACTGAATAGTTTACTAGGGATTCGGACGGGACCATACAATCTGGTTGTAATAACCGATAGGTCGTTGTAAGCGATGTCGTTATAAACGGTTTTGACTGTATATATATATATTATTCTGAAAAGGTGGGAGCTTGTAGTTTATTGTTTATTAGAATGCCAAATCATAAAATGACTGCTTTACGACTGATTTCAGAGCGGCCGCCGATGCGAAAACCGCTGTGTGAGTTCGAAAAGTGAGTTACAGAATCGCAGGGCTGGTCTATAGTGAAATTGTCAAATATGTGATAAAATGATACAATTATTCTAATTTTTAATGTTAATTTTATTTTATTTACTTTTACATGAGTTTTACACAAAACTTCATTACAAGTTACACTACTAACTTTTACTTATATTATTTTGGTCTACTGAGTATTATTATTATTACATTCTCTTTCTTTTTTGCGACTGAGGGGCAAACAAGCTGCTGTGGTCTCTGGCAGAATGACCAGCGCTGTCTGCGCAGTCTGCTCCTCAGCATCAAGCTGTGCCAGGGTCAATTACAACCACAGCACACACGCATTACACAATTAAAACGTACCTACCCTGAAACAATAGTACGGGAGGTAGCAACGTTTTCGAGAAAGAATTTCAGGTCAGCTGATTTTGTGATATGTCTTCCTTCTTGCAATTTCGGTTAGAGTCTGGGCAATCTGGCTGGCGGTAGCGGTTGCGTTCATTAGTGCGCATCCTATCTGTCCAGGTAATAATCCTGGATTTTAAAAGCATTTTAAGAAGCGTAATTTTAAATTTTTAGTTTTTAAATAAGTCTACCTGACATACTTTTTTTATTGCCAGACATTTTTCACATTGCTAACTATGTGCCAGACGCGATTTTAAGTTTTTTTTTTATAAAAATTTCAAAGTATTTTATAATGTATGTAATTTTAATATTATGTTATTTAAATATAAGAAAAACTAAAAATGAATTTGCCAGACATTAATTCGATTGTTAAGCCTTGAATTAAAATGAAAAGTTCTTATACGCTGTTCTGATTCTGATATTTTAATTATACTTCTGGGAAATATGGATCCTGAAAACATCTTTGAAAATTTGGATAAATATGGGAGTTGGAAATCATCAGCGTTGCATAAACATCAATGAATTGTACCGAATTCTTGGTGACTCTTTATGCAAAGCTTTACCATGCTTCCACTCAATCACCGGATGTGATTACACGCCAGCTTTTTTTAGAAAAGTCAAAGTTAAGCCTTATAAAATATTAGAAAATTCTAAAGAATACCAGTTACCTTTTGATAATATAATTTCGGATGATGAAAAAGTACTTGAAACTACGTTTGTAACCCTTTTTAATTTATTTGTCAAATGTATGGAGTTAAAAATTGTTCGAATGTTAATGATGTTCGATTTCATTTATCTTTAAGTACGTTTAAGTCTAAAAATCAGATGAGAACTTTGACAAAAAATTTCGAAACTTTGACTCATCCAGTTTGCCACCCTGTAAAGCGGAATTGTAACAGCATTTATTAAGGGTTCGTTACGTGACGAAAATTTGGAGAAATGCTCACTCAAAACATCCAACATCTTTATCTCCAATGGCTTTTGGGTGGACCACTAACGGTGACACATATGATTTTTTGTGGGAGATCAATTACCATCCTCAGTTGCAGATATTACTGTTCAAAGAGTGGGGGTGTTTCATGACTTTTTCATTTTAATTCAAGGCTTAACAATCGAATTAATGTCTGGCAAATTCATTTTTAGTTTTTCTTATATTTAAATAACATAATATTAAAATTACAGACATTCTAAAATACTTTGAAATTTTTATAAAAAAAAAACTTAAAATCGCGTCTGGCACATAGTTAGCAATGTGAAAAATGTCTGGCAATAAAAAAAGTATGTCAGGTAGACTTATTTAAAAACTAAAAAAATTAAATTACGCTTCTTAAAATGCAATGCTTCATCATACTGCAATACTTTTCATGACTTTTTCATTTTAATTCAAGGTTTAACAATCGAATTAATGTCTGGCAAATTCATTTTTAGTTTTTCTTATATTTAAATAACATAATATTAAAATTACAGACATTCTAAAATACTTTGAAATTTTTATAAAAAAAAAAACTTTAAATCGCGTCTGGCACATAGTTAGCAATGTGAAAAATGTCTGGCAATAAAAAAAGTATGTCAGGTAGACTTATTTAAAAACGTTATGTTATCTAGAGTATTATTCTCATGTAAGTGACATTTTTTGTCTTTTTTGAGAAATAAAGTCTTTAAACCTAAACCTAAAAACTAAAAATTTTAAATTACGCTTCTTAAAATGCTTTTAAAATCCAAGATTATTACCTGGACAGGTAGGATGCGCACTAATGAACGCAACCGCTACCGCCAGCCAGATTGCCCAGACTCTAACCGAAAGTGCAAGAAGGAAGACATAATATCACAAAATCAGCTGACCTAAAATTCTTTCTTTTCAAACGTTGCTACCTCCCGTACTACAAGTAACTAATGATGTTACAAATTATGGAATAAGTTAAGAAAATCCTAAAAAGGATACCCCCTATTATTGTCGAAAATGTGAAAGATTACCAATCTTTATACGATTTCTTACTTATAAAAGTAATAAATAAAGACTCGTTCAAAGTGAAAATACTCAGCAATGGGACTATTTACCAGAACATAATTAGAAATATGATAGAACAGAAACGAGCCCAAATAAAAAGGTGGCACTCCACAAGACACAAAAGACAAATTGCATTTGAACAACCTCACTAAACAGGTGAGGAGAGAAAAAAAAACTGAAAGATATCTCAATAACAAGATACCTAAACCAACTTACTTCTGATAGTTCCACCAACTACCCCCTCTGGAAGCTACCTACAATAAATATTCCTCGTTTACGAAAGTAAGCAAAAAGTTAAGAGGTTTACATAACATCCAGAAAATATATTTCAAAGCGAAACAAAAATTCACTTAACTTCGAGGAAACATTATCTGAAGAGGTAAACATCCGTATAGTCACAACAAATGAAGTTTCAAGTAAACTTAAAAGTTTCACTAAAAAAGGCGGAAGGTTATGGATTAGGCCGGGCATACGCCGGACCGGCAGATCTGCCGAAACCGACCCGGACAGAGTTTCACATTACATCGGATCCCGAGAAATTCAGACGTCCTCAGTTGAATTTGACCTGCGCGCACAATGGACGACGAAATTGTTTTTTGGTGGTATCTTAAAGAAGGCAAAATAAAAGAAAACATTGGGTACACCCTATTTTACGGGAGATTTTCACTTGGAACATTTGAAACATTATGGTGAACTTAGAAGAGACGAATCAAATTCTTCAATTATTTTCGAATGACAGCAACCACTTTTGACGATTTACTGGGACGACTAGACATAAGAGTACGAGATACAAGTTTAGAGAATGTATTTGCCCAGAACAAAGATTAGCCATATGTCTAGGTAAGATTATTTTATGCACTAGATTGCGTAATGTTTTGACGTAGGTACCTACTTAAGACTGTTGAAGAATGAATGTTTGCTATTATTTTTTCATGAAGTAATATATATAATGTGTGGGAGGGTGTATGTATTTGATAATCATTATGAATTAAAAATGCAAACAATTTTAGATTTTGTACTCAAACTTAAATCCCTTCAAAATCTAGTATCTGAGTTTGGGAAGTATGGAACGATTATAGATCTTGGGAAGCTGGATGTGATCTGGATGAAGTTATGGAAGATGTGTTGCCTGTTGATTGCTACTAAAGGTAGAGTATCAGGTAGTTTGACTTGGAGGATTGGTTATGACTAATTGTAGTATAGAAACTGATCGTCGGTATCTATAATGAATCACGCCATTCCGTAATTGTTCTCATAATTCCTACTTTTATTTTTGCAACATATGACCTACTTGAAATTCTAAATCTCTTCGAAGTTAAAGTGTTCAAGATTGGTATAATGCCTTTGAAGAAAGAAGATGTTCCTTTTTGTGATACTTTACCATCCTGTCATTTACCTTTTTATCAATTTTTTTTTATCTTTAATTAAAGGTGAACGAAAATCTGATTCCATGCCTACTTCAGTCTCGGTTCTTGTTTTTTGAAACTGACTCATTGGGTTCGAGACTTTTTCAAAAACATTAATTGCTCGGATATAAATAATTTCGTGTTTTTTGGTCGAAGATCCAGATTTAGACTCATTTTTTTTCTTTACGCTTAGCCACGAATCTGTATATATCCATTTGTTGAAACCTTTTTCCTGAAATCAAAAAAAAATATCATAAAACATACAATTTTTTCTTGGTGACGTATAAAGTAATAATGTATAACAAAAAATACTTTTTTTCAGATATTTAGCTTCAGGATTTCATCAAAGAAAAAACCAAAATAGGCGTTTCGACAATAAGTAAACTAATAAAAGAAATGACCCAGTCATTTGGGAAAACCTAAAGACAGATTTCCTTGCTCCTGATATGAGAGAGAATGGAGGACATGCTTAGATTGAAAGAAAAGCCAATTTCCTCACTTTGAGCAGTAGATGGCAAACATATCAGAATTTTGAAACCAGCCAAGAGTGTTCTATGTTCTTTAATTACAAGGAGTATTTCTTTTTAGGGAGACGTTTATTTTTATTATGGGCATTGGCAAGGAATGCGATTTGTAATAAGGATAGACATTTTGGCAAAGATCATGATGGTACTTATGTACCAAAGCCTGACCGCTTCATGAAAACTTGCACGAAGAATTACCTTTATACTTGTTGGCGATGAAGGCTTTGTTTAACACCTATCTCCTACGTCCATTGGAGGTACACATTTGAATACTGATAAAAGATTTTTAACTATAGACTATCGAAGAAGGTATTTGAGTGCGTTTTGGTTTGGCAATAGTGGCGAATAATCCATGACTAGATCTCACAGACACAGCAATTCAAGTAATTAAAGCTTGTGCAGTCTTACATAATTTTGTAAGAGAAAAAGATGTATAAATTTTGAAAGTTACCAAAATATAGAACATAGACAAGAACAAGAAACTACACCCATGATCGAAAGTTCGAGTCGAGGTGGCCCTATCCAACGAGGACATATTTACTAATTTTTTGTTTCAGATTGTCCGTTCCGTGGCAGGCAGAGTATAAAATAAAATTTATCAATCATTTACATTTTATCAATAAAAATTAAAACTCACCGTATGTTTTCTTTCTTTTTCATCCAGTTCATCGAGTTTGTTCAGTATAAACATACTTCACGCCATGTGCTAACTTTAATTTTTTTTTATAAACGTCTTCGGTTTTCCACGAACAGGTCTCTTTGGACAAGCGTAATTAAAGTTTTGCTTGAATATCCATGCTAAACGTCTACTTTTACCAGAACATGCGAGCCGAATGACGTGAGTGGAACACGGGCGCAGGGGAGCACGAGCAGGGCGAGCGGGGACAATACCGGCACAACCGTCACATTCTCCGGCCCGGTCTACCGGCATTGTAGTGACAAAACGTTCGTAATGCCGCTCGGCAAAATGCCGGACCCGGATAATGTGAATAGCTTCATATAATTGTACAGCCACTAGCTTTCCGGCAGATTTACCGGCGCGGCAGATCTGCCGTCCGGCGTAGTGGAACCCGGATTACCGTTTCATTACGGGTAAGGTACTATGTCCCTGGGAAAGGAAAGTCGTACTTAAAATGACGACCCTAATAATGTAAAAGTAATGCCTCATTTCGACTTAAATATGTTCCCAATATGTGGAAAGTTGCGGAAATTATAATGATTGCCAAGCCAGGACGTTATTTCGTGAGGTGGTTTTATACGAAATGAAGTTTTACAGGCCGATCTCACTGTTGCCTATTATTTTCTACATACAAATTATTTGAGAAAACGTTTTCAAACGACTCAACGCTATCTATTATCGACAAGAACCAGCATACCGGATCACCAATATGGTTTCAGCGACAAACATTTTACCATAGAACAGGTTTATAAAATCCAACTGTGGGTTGCCAAAACAAAGTGCTCAGGGGAATAGTCAATGCTCCCTGATACATTCAAAATGACGCACTCCATCGGGACCACGATAATAAAAAGATTGCTGGAGCCTACGAACAACAAGCAACACGTGAATGACGAGTCTTTTCTGATTTCTGATATTCAATGCATTCTGCTTGATTTAGATTTATCAAGCAACATGCAAATTCTTGTTTGAGTTCAACGTAATACCAAGTTAAAAATGGATAAGATATGACAATAATCAATCACAATAAAGAAGTTTTACGTGTAGCTTTACTGTAATCCTCTGATAAATAATAATTCTTGTGTCATAATAATGTATAATTACACAGAAAAATTAAATATTAATATACATACGTACCTACATTGTATACCTAGTAACTATTGTTATAAGGTGATTTTAAAATATTGATTCTCAATTATTACATAATTAAAAATTCTCCGCCGCTCACAGCTGCTCTTCAGACAATTAAATAGAATATAAGGGATTAATTAAAGAAAATGTAGAAACCCTTATTTCATTGTCTTTGCTAGAACTAAGCTCTATTAAAGAAACTAAAAATACATTTTAGGTAAGTATATCACATTCATTGTGTTTGTTTGATATAAATTATCACTATTTATGCTAACAAGAATGCCAGTACACCAGATATATCAGAATTAAACAGAAATCTGAAGTTTTTAAACACATATGACATACCTAATACAAGTTATTAGCGTATTTGTTAAGTTTTATTTAGCCAATCCTAGAAGAAATCATCGGAGTTCCAGTTGTATCTAATACAATTATGAAATAATAGACACAATTAATTATTATTAATACGAAGAGATATAAAACTTTATATATATCAACTATATCTAATATTAATATATTGTTGTAAGATGTTTGAAGTGAATGTTTTAACACGCAATTTAACTCTTCTGTGTAATTGCTGATTACTTTATGATGGTGTAGGTAGTTAACTAACTAAACTTCGTTATTAGTTTTTTAATTAGACTATGAATATATTCCAAAGCGTTTTATAACGATTATTTATTTCATATATTCAAACTTCCAATAATCTTATTTAAGGGTCTGAATATGACTTGGTAACGGTAAACATAGATGGATGTGGTCACAGTCCACCATGCTTCGTCACACTTGGGGAAAGAATACCAGTTAATGTGCGATTCTATGCAGGTAGAAATTTTAACCAAATTTTTTTAGAAGAACGCTTAAAACATTAAAGTGCGAATACTGACTCGAGTATTGCTTTGCCTTCAATTTTTTCAAGATAGTAACAATGCTAAAAAAAATTAATTCTTATCGTAATGATTTTAAGTAATTAAGACAGAAATAATAAATGACGAATAATCCGAGTCATAAAGCATTTTTTGCATTAATGCTTCTAAAGATAACATTATTCATACTTAGTTGAAGCTTAATATAAACCATTTCAATTTAACTGGGAATTATTTATTGAATCTGTTACAGTGGGTGCTTGTGTAACGAATCCATTTGTTTTGCACGTTTCAGACTTCGCATCTTTGCAGCTTGATCAAGATGTCATCATTAAGCTTAACTTCGTCAATGCTAGAACGCCTGTGACGCCGGGTGAGGTTTTGTTTAACATTTTGTCAACAAATTTAAACTAAATATATAAAAAGGTTTAAAAATGAAAAACAACATCGACAATCGACATATCTTTAAATTAAGCTGTTCTCCTTGGACCATGCACCTAATTAACTTGAGGTAGCTAATTGAGATTGTATAAAGCTGTCGAAATTGCTGTTTTGAGCATAGGTACCCGGGTCGTTCTTCTTTTAAACCTACAATTTGATAAAGCTTTAGCTCAATTCAGAAAATAAAAATATAAAGCTTTCTTGTCAGTTTATAGGGGAAGGTGGGGACCCTTCGTCGTTTTCAATTTTTTTATTTCCATGAATCATCACCTGATGTTAAATTTAAGTCTACTATCTGAGATTCAAATAAAAAATGACAATGATTTCATCCGATTTTCAACCATAATTATGATTTAAACTAAATCTGAAAACGTCGAATCTGCCCCATCAACGGGGCACCTTCGTACAGTGTTTGGGGTACCTTCTTAGCTGTGGGTAGTTCAAAATTCATTTATTAGCAATGAAATTAAACACAAAAATAAAGATTTAATTTCTATTAAACAAAAATAAAATACTTTTCTTATGTAAAACAAAATTTAATTAGTTAGGTATCTTAAATTTAGAATTAATTTTTTACTCTTTGGTGTGGATACATTCTTTTTGGGTGTGGAGTATAAATGGTTCGGCGCTGTATGTTGTTTTATATTTACAGAAGCGAATAGGGTGAAAGTCGGGTCAAACTATTCGAAGGAACTACTATTTGATGGATTGGTAAATTATTCAAGATCTGGTTCACAAGCATCAAAATCAACCTTATAGATCTTAAATAGTGTAATATGTAGAAAGTCGAAAACTTAATTTGTATGAAAAGACAGTTGGTCGACAAATTATTATACAAATTTAGTTGTACAATTCGTACAAATGTGCCCATCTAGTGTGTGAATGTACCCCACTAACTGAATAACAACAAAATATAACTTATTTTAATATTAATAGGAAAACGTCATAAATTAAGTATTGAGACGTATTTAAGTATATTTGTGTTACTGATAGAATACTTAACGAAAACTTATTTTATTAGGTAAAAGAGATAAAAACATAGATCATTACTTACAGCGGAAAACACGTCTATGCTGTAACTTCACTCTATGGTGGAATTTAGAAACTTGTTGATGTATAGTTGGTACCTCGACTCATGAAATACAAAAGAGACTGACTTTATTTGTTCGTTTATGACTGTGAAGGGAAGGGTAAGATCTTCCCTATATAGATTCTGATAGCAGAATTTCTATTCTATTGGAAAAAGTGGTTTGCCGAGATGTTTACACATTTTTGTACGATTTTCTAGGCCTGAAAGATAGATTCGACAAAAAAATTTACTCTTTGGAAAGAAATCTTTTATTTTATTCTATTGAATACTCTTCGTCAAATAACTTGTACTTTTGTAATACATAAATTAACAAAATGAGCTTGTATAAAACATATTAATATAATACATTTGTATGCATAAAATATGTTTTATTCATGACCAAATACCAGTCCGTCACATTTTCTGCTAATATACATGTATTTTTTGCTATAAATCAATTTTTACTATCATTTAAAAATAAATACCAATATCACAGATAGATATAATCAAATTATATAAATATAAATTTTCCCATGTTGCACTAGTCATAACAAAATATATAAAAGACAAAAATGATTTTCCTATCAGGAGACAACTTCGTGACGGAGTTTGATATTCTAGGGGATACCAGGCTGCGTTTTGGTATAAAACAGGTTTATTTTTCTAAAATCATTTATTTTGTTATAAATCTTTTCAGTCTTCAACATTGTCATATAAAATAACATGAGATCGAACTTAGATAATTAATAAAATCACATTTGAGAATCTTTAGAATAAGAGATTCATATTTTAGTAAATTAAATGACTACTAACTCGTCTTAAGTAAATAAAGTCTAGTAAAGCTTGACATCAAATTAACGTTTTCAAAAACATAAAATAAAATAATCATTAAGCATTAAGAGATGAGAAAGTCTTATTTTTCGAATAGTGGCTCTCCGAACTAGAAATATTGTCTCTTCCCTTTTTATTAACATTCGGAGTCTGGAGTGTTTGGTAAGAAGTACCGCAGACAGCAGTTTGATCAGTTGGTTCTTTCGTTTTAAGCGTGGCGAAAGGCTGATCTTCATTGGTTGGTTCATCTGGGCTATACATAATATCGTAAAATTACTTACAATTATTACAAAACTTGTCCCTTCAACCACCAGAAGCTCCTTTTCCATGCCCAAAGAAGTTCCAGGATATTTGGCGAAACCCATAATCTTCGAAAAAAATTGTTTGCCGTTAGACACCACACAATAGGAGACAAGTTTTTGATATTTTTTAAATATTATTAAAAGTGATAAAAAATAATGGTTGCTATTGCATGATAGGTAATATATTTAGGAGTTATAAGATATTTTTATGTTTTGTGTCATCATATAATTTTTTCGTAATATTATGGACTAAACGCAAGCTGAGGAATTTGTATGAGATACACTTCTCTCACGAGGATTTACTACTTTGTCACGTACTTTTACAATTAAATTATTCAATATATTTGTTATTTGATGGTGCACAGTGATTATGCATATAGTACAGTGCATTTTGAAATACTATTAAAAAAATAATAATAGTAATTTCCTTGTTTATTTTTTCACTCATTGGTGGAGACAACTTATTGTAGGTTAAAAAGAAGAACGACCCACCTACAAAAGTTAGCGCAGCAGGTGGCGCAGGCGTTGAATAAAAACCCTAAGAATACCTAAAGCAGAATTTCAAGACTACCAAAACCACGAAATTGGGGCTATATTTTTATATAAATTTTACTTATAAAGTAAATACGCTTTTTCAATATTGTATAATTAAAACAACTCTACATTCAGCTCTCTGTAGATGTATTTTTTTAATTTTCACAAAGATGCCCTTGTTTTAATACGCTCTGAGTATTAAGCTCTACATTAGACTAGAAAGACGGCACCCAGTAGGCGGTACCCATAATTCAAGCAGCGATCATCTTACAATACAACAAGAAAATGCTTCAGCTTATCTTAATACTTGATGTAATATTTTATATTATATAAAAATATCCCAGCTACGAAAGCGTGCTTGGAAATATTTGATCAGTTTTATTTCCATAGCAAATAATTCTAGTAGTTTGTGTAACATCGGAATTGCTAATCACTTAGCTTAGGATTGGGAAATATGGAATGTCAAAAACGACTTGTTTGATAATAAACTTGTTTGATATAGAGCCATGTGACATCCTCTTATGCCCCGTGCAGACCGATGCTCTTACATCCTTTACTAGTGTGATGTCGGTACCAACTAATATGGCATTGGTAAGTTTTTATATATTATTCACATTACTGAAACTTATGGAGCTGTTCAGAATATCCAATTTGAGAAGGGTTCTTCAGGAAAGAGCGTACCAATTCTTAAACGACCGGCAACGAACTTGCGAGCCATCTGGCAATGTGAGTGTCTATGGGTGGCAATATCACATAACATCAAGTGAGCTTCCTGCCCGTTTGCCCCCTGTACTATAAAAAAAAAAAAAAAGCGGTATCTTCGTAAATAAACCTCCTTAAAAAAATGAAGAAGAAACTCAGATTAGTGTAGATGTTTCAAGTACATTGGTTTGTACTAGAAATAGAAACCTGAGCACACATCTGATGATGACCAATGATTTTTAACAAAATAATCGCAAGTTTCTAAACTTAAAACAAGAGTAATAAGTACTTACTCTTACTTACTTGTCAAATATGACAAACGCAGTAACAAAATTCAGTTACCTATGTCACGTTATAGTTGACTACCAACATGTCATAATAAAGTGTAAACAAAGGACGATAAACTATTAAGATTAAGTCCGGAAATCTAAGAATAATTGTAAGGAATAATAAATGGTCATTATCTGCTTAAGTCACATGTTTTGGTACAAGGAAAAATATTTTAAAGTGCCTTTTTTGCCACGGTTTTAAGACGCCAACCGTACCTATCTGTAAGATTACTTATGTTATTGTGCACTTTTAGAAAAGCTGTTTTAATGTTTAGTCATTCTTTATTCAAGGAACTTGAACTCGATTTAAACGTTTCATGAGCTTTTGAAAACATTAATTTTACAAGACTATAGAAACTTAAAGCTCGTAAAAATTAAAAAGCATTTTAAATGGGAACTCTTTTAATAAATACTTATTGTTAATGCAAGAAAGGAATCCCCGTTTTAACGAAATTATTTCCCTTACAGAACCAACGCGGATACCTTCAATGGCGAGTTTACAATGAGAAAAACCGGGTGGTATTATGTTACTCCGTGCTTGTTCAGACACAGACGTATATTCAGAAAATGTTGAAACAGGCCGCTCTCCTCACCAAGGCTCTTACCGATGACAAAATTAAAAAAGTTCCTCATCCTTTGGGGCATCCCCTCAATCCTGTTGGAAACTTACCAAACGTTACTTTTGAATTTTACGGTTAACCATGTTTTATTTATAGATATATAATATTATTACTATATGTATATTAAAAGATAAATAGAGCAATATATTTTATCAAAAATCACATAAAGTATACTAATCATAAATCAATATTCTAACTACTGCTATACTTTCTATTATGAAATATAATCAGATAAAACCCTAAATAAATACTTGCAATAAATATATCTACTCAATAAAATATGATACATTGTTTTATTTACATTTAAGTGTTGGGCAATACATTAAGTAGATAAGTTATTTATGACGATTAGTCATGAGCAATGTTCTTAAGTGTTTACCTAGATATATTTTTCCATAAAGTATTTACTCGACATGATATAATCGAGTTGCATGCTGGAAGAATGATACCTATATCGTGAAAAGAGTTAAACACTCGTTTTAATACGTATATTTAGACTATTTACATAACCTCTACTAAAAACGCCACATAAATGAATTATACACTAATGCATAATTCTACTTATAAATTACAAGGAAGCTGAACTGTCACGGTTGGCAAGTTCGTTTCACGGTAACATTTTTATTCTAACCGTTTTTTCGGAGGAACTTTAGCTTGTAGGTAGGAAGGTTATAAGGCAGGCTCAAATAACTTCCTGAACTTTTTAAACACCTGTAAGTTGCTGATATGAAGTTTTTTATTGAGATCAAACTTGAAAAACGTACCGACACTTGTAGTGCGAGATCCGGCTGCAAGATTAGTGCGCTCATCGGTTATTTGGTCAAAAACAATATTTATGTATAAAAAAATTTGGCCGCTAGTATTTTTAACTAAATTATTTTGAACTGATTTTTGGGAAAACATTTCGTTCACTTGTTATTTAAATAAAATATCTACATCACGGCAATTTACATAAAGATTTAAAAAAATCACGGGTGCCGTTGCCCACCCGGCCGCACTTCTTTGTAGCCAGGTATGATTTCGATACATTTATACGTTCATTACGTAGATTTATTAATTATATATCAAATTGAAGCTAGCTTTTTTTTTCTATCGTATATGGGTGTCTAGTTAAATCTGGCCGCAAATAAGGGTTACCTGCTGTTAAGATGATAAATATTTAAGGTAGAGTGAAAGAGAGTTAACGCATAACATAATTTGTCAGACGAGGATAGCGAATGCCGCCTGTGCGACGCTTTTAAGCCATTGTGCATGCGTTGAATGTTAATGTTCTCAAACTGAATAGATTTTTTTTATGTTTTAATTTATTTAATAATTTTTAGATACACAAATAAAACAACAATGTATATATAAAACGTCGTTTATTACGAACTCCAAAACAGCGCGTTTTTATGTTAGAATAAATATTGCCCCATCTATTCAGTTTGAGAACATTCTCCTAATTATAAATATACATAAAAATTTGGTTTATAGCAAATAACCGATGAGCGCACTTCTCTTGCAGCCGGATCTTAGACCACTGTAACATAAACACCCTGCGGGTGTTTTTTAAATCGGTTAAAAAGGAAAATGGTTTGTTTCGATTGATTGAAAGATCACAAATATAACTCAAGTGTATTTGCTGCAGTTGCTTGAAAACCCTATCAGGTCGGAGGCAAGCCCGGGTTAAAAACAGGTTTCTTCAAGTCATTTATTTTTGTTTCCGCAAATTTTAGATATATCTGACCTAATGTGCTTATAATTCAATGGTCACTTTAAATAAAATCAACAAAAAACCACTGCAATTATTATGCCATTATGTGAAATAAATTGTTAATTGTAATATAAACCTAAATAAAAAAAATATTATTTCTAAGTTTTACTGGTAGCAACAACCAAGGAGACAGGAAGTAGAGATTCAATATGAATTGCGAGGCGAACTACATACCTACCTACAAACTGCTGTGTTAAGTGTTTATACTTTATTCCTATCGTCTCCCGTTCATTGTTTTATCGGGTGAGCAGAGTATTCATTTATTTATAAATAATCTACAAATACAAACTATATATGAAAACAATACTAAAAAAACTAAAACAGATTACATTGTTACACAAAATATACGAAACAGAAAGCATAAGTCAATTAAGTATTTTAACAGATAAAAACAGGAAAACTGAAATTAAACATTAAATAATCTACAACTTAATATTTTTAAATTGTTACTACTGCTAAATAAAGTCGGATCACCACTCATAAGTTCTCTTTTTTTTAAAACAGTCTGACAGACTGAAGGTAGTATGAGCTATATAGCCGAATAATAGGTCACAGTGTTTTTTGGTCCTTACAAAAAGGTGTGGTCGCCAAATAGTGGCGTCACTGGACGTGGGCGAGGTGGGGTCTAAATTGAGCGAATTAGATTGATTAACAGTCATAGTTTTTTCAATAAAATGAAATAACTTATAACAAATAAATACTGTATTACATATGTACCTACTGAGGTAGATATCTAATCACAATCACGCTCTAAATAGACGTTATTCAGGCACTAGTAATTACTACTAGGAGCAAATCATTCGACCATAAAAGAGTAAAGTGATTTTCAAGTTATAATGCCGTCTTGCTCTTGGTTACCGCCAGTTACCACTTGCCAGACATAAACATGTTTTCAAAGAGTGTAGTTGTGTGCTGCTTGCTGGCGTTCTCCGCTGCCACTGATGTTTTACAATGTCCTGGTATGTATCACCTTTCAATCAACACGACCTGCTTTCTGCTCATATTACTTTCTTCGTACAAGACGTAAGGTCGTGGATGTGTTATGTTTACTTGCAAGTTTATAGAAAGTATTGCTGTTAATTTTACACGAGGTATAAAACTTCTTATTTATTCCGTTGTAGAAATATTATAAACAGAGACTTCTTGCGACAAAGTTGTATCTAATTGAACGTTAACAAAGAGTTACTCAGTCTAGTAAAATAAATATTCATGCAACTGATTGAATTATTATATTTGTATGTTGTTTTAATAAAATACCAAGGACAGGTATCGCGTAATATTGACATTTTATTTTTTATTTAGCTTAACTTCCTGTCAAGCTTTGTTTAATGTTAAAGGTTCACCAATTCTGTCCTTCTTCTGTCTAATGGGAACATGCAAATTAAATATACAGGGGGTTTAGCCCTTGTTTTAGTTTAGGTATACAATTCGACCATTTCTTTTTTCTGTCCTACAAAGTACCCATACGATGATTTCATGCGTTTATTTGTTCTGTACAAACAATATCTTTCAAAATAATGCCTAAAGGTCGAAGACTTTAGGATCGATTACGTTTTTGCGATTACATTTTTGACTTTTTTCTTTTTGCGCAAGCAAAAACTAACAAGGACGTTAAATAATTATCATGACAAACAAGATTTGATAGGATGGAAGATTACATTCAATTTTTGCGCTTCTCCGTCTTATTCTTTGTAGAAGTTCCAGCGATGGTCAGTGTGTGTGATCTTTATTTTTTTAATATTCTATGCTCTCTAATTACCACAACCAGAACCATCTCTATCAGACAGCAGCATAGATGGACACTATCGCGAAGATCTCAATGAAACCTATGAAAATTTGGCGTTGACAAATCAATCTATAAACTTAAAAATCTATAAACTTTTATAGCTCAATAGCTTTACTCCTATCGCGTGATATATAATAATGTATTCGTGCGCTGATCTAGATCTTTAATTACATTCAGATCACTTCTGCGATGATCATGGAACATGACAGTAACCGGTAGTTACCTCGTCGCATTATAAACATGCATATTGAAAGATCAACCTTGTTTAGTTAACTATTAATTAAAAGGTTACGAACCTGCTCCAATTACAACTCAAATATTTACTCAAAACTCAACTAATCCTTAGTTATTTTATTATATCACATTCTATCTAACATTTTATCTATATTATTTAAATATCTGTTTTTCTCTCATAGTATTTTACAATGCCAAGAAGTCAGCGTTTCCTTTAGCTATTACATAAGCGTGCTATGAAAAGTAAAAGTAGACCCACTTGAAATTTTAGTATTTTTGTTTATCCATAATTATGCTTAACCAAATCATGTATTGAATCTACAATAAATCTTAAATCACAATGGACAGAGCAGCGTAGTGGGTTTTTGTCAAGGACTGCCATTTTTTATAGGTTTAGATTAAGATGCCTGTGTATAATTATGAAGTTAATAGTCATCTATCTATTTATAATATAGTTTGAAACGTGTCACAATTGAGTGCTTACGTAATTCGTTAACCTTTGCATCGCAGCACGCATCCGATAAAAATACTGACTGCAACAAAAAATGCACGTTATAATCTATTCATATAGTAAGCTTGTAATTTTCCTTGCTACACAGCATTAATTTAAAAAAATTGGTTTTATAAACGCTCAATGTTTCGTTATAACGAATCGACACAGAAGCATGGATTTTGAAGGTATCATATATGAACACATAAAAGGAGTGTAATGAACTCCCCCGCCCGTAATATTAAAGTTAAATGTGCCCAGTGATTAAATGCCTAAATTATTGTAGTAAACCCCAGAGACCTAACTTAAGCGCTGACACACTTCAGTATAGCATTTTTTTTAAACATCTAGCATTTAATTATTTGAGTGGTAATAAATAGTGAATATCGTATTTTAGAACACCCCTCATTATTGATACAATTATAATTAAAAACAAAATAGGACTTTAATTCAGGATTTTTTTAGTATATTTATTCAAAAAAACAATTATGACTAGGCACTACTAACATTCGGGAATTCAATAAACTACATAGTCAAATATATATTGCCTAGTTTAGTAATTATTGGTTTTTAAGGTTGGAATTGAATAAATGATATGATTATAAAATGAAAATATGATTTTGATAAATGTATATAATTGGACATTACTTTCAGGTAAAAATACAGAAAATCTGAAGGAAAACGTGCAGCTATCGCCATGCAAGAAACCGCCTTGCAAATTGAAAAAGGGAACAGATCAGCACATTACTATTAATTTCACTCCCAGTTAGTATGCATTTTTATCATAGATAACTTGTAAGGTTTTATTCAGAACATCCTATTCATTAATAGATATAAATATCGCGTGTTCAATTTTTATATGTATGTGTAACATTGAACCTCTTCTACTCCTTGGGGGACTTGTAGATATGCACCTATTAATCTAAAATCTATTGATTTGGATTTTTTTCAATTTCATTATGTGTTTTGTGTGTGTTAGACGGCCCACTTCTGTTACCAACCGAACAAATTAATTCCTCAATTTATGCAGTAACTTCACTATATCACTTTTATTGTCTATATTTACTTTACCATTCCATCGTGTTCTACAATAAATTTCAGTAGTCACTTAATAAAAATTTTATGTTTCAGACGAGGACGTGGTTGAGTTAAAAAATCGTGTGGTAGCTGACGTGTTCGGCGTGGACTTACCATTCGTTGGCGTAGATGGAAACAGTGTTTGCGACAAGATATTAACAGCGGACGGACAGAAGGCGCCATGTCCACTCAAAGCCGGAGTAAAATACACGTATAAAGACTCATTTCCCGTCCTCGAGTTCTATCCCAATATAGAGGTCAAAGTCCACTGGGCCCTAATCAGTCCTAAGAGCGAAATTATTTGTTTCGAAACGCCTGTTAAAATAGTATCTAAGAAGTGAGCTAATCGTTATGAAATGGTTTTTAGGTTCTCGGAATTATATAGAAGAAACGCAATTCTGCAATTCGATTAACTTTTATATAGATTTTGTACTTGTTTTTAGTTTATTATAAATAAAGAAATTGTAATTTTTATACAATTAAGTTTATTTTAATTGTGTTGTGTAGAAGGTTGTTCCCACTTCCATATATTTCTCCACGTAGTTCACTGATCACCCAAACTCGTAGTAGGTACTTAAGTATTTATAATAATGTAGTTTTTCCTTAAAGTTCGTGAAATAATAAGCATTACTATGTCAAAGTATTAGATTCTATGACAAAAGTTGTTAGCTTATTGGAGAAATTTTAAACAACATTTGAAATTATTGGTACAAAATGTCAGTTTTTTTTTAATTATGACTAAAATCAATCCTACAAATGTCCCACCCTCGTACAACACGAAACCAACTAAATTTGCTACTATTATATTATGCAATTTATCAGACAGAATTCTATAATCTTTCAATCATTGATATTTTTGGCATTTGGTCAAATAAGAAAATATGCGCAAAACTTATGGAGTACTTAGTATAAATAAATAAATAGTGAAATTGACGTAATTGGAATAATAAACAATCATTGTTATTGTGCTAACAACATTCTTTATTATTTGATTCACATGGCTCTCAATAGTGGATTGAGAAAATGTTATGATATAATACTGCTTCTAGAATTTATGTAGTTCGTTTCCGTAACATAATATGGTTAACAAACAAAACAGATCTTTGTGGATTCGCGTTCAATTAAGTTGGGCCTTTTTTTTACCTGGTGTTATGACTGCGGGAACTTCGAAACAGATAACATCACGTTTACCATCATGAAGAGCCCAATGGACGCGAAGGTCGACCTGCGGATAGTAGGCTTCGATTGGGAAACTATTGGTGTAGACGTACTCTTGGTCCGGTTGAAGAGGGCACGGTGCAGGGGAACCGTCCTCAGCCTTCTTCACGTTGGGGCAGGCATCGGAGCCGGTCACTCCGAGGAACGGTAAGGGCAACCCAGCGATGTCCGCGTAAACATTGTTTGTAAGCGATTTCACGACAGTTTCTGAAAGATTTTACGCCATTTCAATACAAACTTATTTAGCAAACAGAAGATAATAATGTCCAGTATAGTAAGGTTCTATGTGGACATGCCATAAGCTGAGTTTAAAGCCATGAAACACGTCTCCATTCTAACGGTTTTATTTATGAGCCTGGAACAGCCAGGTTCAATGTACAGTTAACATAGTTAACTTAGGTAAAGAGTAAAGTTTCATAAAATAAAACCAGGCGTTGCATTATCGAAGTAAAGTTTAGTACTTGTATACAATATTTAAACAAAGAGTAATTCTACTGCGTTAGCATTTAATTTTTTTAATGAACAAAGTCGAGAAATACTAGTTAATTCCAGTGGTGAGATAGGAATGTAGCTGATTCTTCCTGATATTAATAAAACTCATCATAATAATGCAATAGCTCTTCATATATCTAATAAATCTCATTTTTTTATTTTTTTTACGATATGAGATAGGATCCACGTCGAACACATGAATTATGCTTTTATAAAAAAAATATAATTTGACACGGTTACAGCCCCGTTAAATGCAGTTTGTACAAATGTGGCCATTGCTAAGTATAAATGATCAGGCGCCTGATAGTTGAAGTACATTGTGCCGAACCTTACAAGTTTACCTAATATTGATTAAATCACTTACTTGGTTTAAACTTAAATGTTACGGTGGTAACGGAGCCCTTTGTTAGTTTGCATCGAGATTTACCGCACGGCGTGATTTGAATTCTTTCTTGCAAATTATCGAACTCTTGTCCTGAAATATTGTTAAATAATAATTTATATTTCATACATAAAGTAAAAAACCACTCACTTTGTCTTTTTAAGATGTATAGGTACATTCATCTTTGCTACTAAGTATACTATAAGGTCCCATTATCCAAAAGTTAAGTAGGGTGTAGATATTAAAGGCTGCTAATGCTACAACTCCAAACACTTATAGAATCTAAGCCGAACCGTCCGAGTTAAACGCATTCATTTAACTAGAAACTCAATTATTCAAACCCGGAGGCCATATCACCACAACTAACTGCACCATCCAACAGAAAGACCCATTTTTGTGAAGTATCATTACATAAATAACTATGTATCAATAAAAATAACATTACAATTCTTTTGATTTACGCTTAAATTTCTTTCCCAGAATTTCTAATGAAAAGTCCAAAATTAACAAATTCTTAAAGGTCGAAAAACCTTTTTCCCAAATTAAAATTTGATTATACATTGAACGTCCAAAGAAATAGCAGCAATATAGGTTGGCTTAAAATCGTTGTTATCAAATGATGTGGTCACATCCAACTAAAACATAAATATTAAATTTCCTAAATCAATATTTTTGTTTAATGTGAACTAATTAAGATATGAAGGATTTTATTTTTAGCTGAGAACCAATAAAAATATGTTTATTCGTTAATTTATATTTTCAGTTATAATAAAAAATATTCATTCTTGTAATTTTAGGCCGTTATTCACATACTGAAACCGATATTTTTTATTGATATTGTAATCTTACCGACACACTGTGCAGCCGGTGTTTCACTAGATATACAGGATGCCAATGATAGGACACAGAAAATGATAAGAGGTTTCATTTTAACAAGACGCAACCGATTCTGAATACAGGTGCACAACGATTGAGCAATCTAAAGGAATCCGCGGCATTAAAACTACTTAGAAGACCTCGAATTTTATTTTTTATTTTACTATTAATTTTATTACGGAGTGTTAAAATAAGTTAACCAATTGGTGATTGCTTTCATTCAAATATAGGTACAATAAGTTAAAATGTTAATATGTATGTAGATTTAGGAGAATACAAATGAAATACCATAGCCTAAAAAAATCTTTAAAATGAAACACAAATTATAGCAAATCGTTTATTGGTAAAATAAAATACAATGAGTAAAACACAATAATGTCATTTTTTTAATGAGGCAGATTAAAATACTTCGCTTTATTATTAAACGTACATTTACAACTAAAACTAGGGTAGGAAAGTAAAGGCAAACTTTATAACATATAATATAGCTGTAATAAATTAAAAACTTACACATGTGGAACAAATAATACTATTTGGCAACCTAGAAAGTAGGCGATGGATAACATACTTCTACATTATACATTTGTAAAAAGATATTGATAGATAAGTAGGCAAACATAAAAAAATCTTCAATATCTTCTTGTTAATATTGTTTAAAAGGCAAAAAATATAACAATGGTTTATGTATATAATATATATATTAGTTTCAATTAAACTTCCAAAGCTAAGATATTAATATTCAAAATTAAAATAATAATTGCAAATTGTAATAATCATTGCACACAAAGGAATTAACTTTGTTTTGTTATAAGTACCTACGTCAAATAAATTAATAGCAATAAAATCTAGTTTCGCGTGTGCACGATACTTATAAATATTGATATAAAAAAATTACTGTTAAAATAAGCGTACATTTAACAATTCATACTTAAAACGAAAACAGTCAAAGCCAGATTAACTAATAAAGTCGCAGTTTGATTAATTGGCGTAACTACACCGGTGTTAATCGACTGGTAACAATAAATTACGTCAAAATTCTTCAAATAAAATGAAGAGACCTTCGAATACCGAGAAGGGATAACACATCTGACATTCAATCTTATTCAATCGTAAATTACTTTTTTCATAACATTCATTATCATATGTGTCTGTCAACAAGGGACTTTATAATATAATAAATCTATTCAAATACAGTCCATTAAATAATACAAAATTGAGAATAATACAGATTGAAAATGAGATTCAGTGATTCAGTATTGGTATAGGTACTGTACAATGTACATATTTGATTCAGATAAACATAGATTTTGGCGGTAAGGGGTAATATGGAGTAAATGTCTTCTTTATTATATTTCATAATATATTAATAAAAAAAATAATCAATACTTATCTGTTAGGTTTTACGTACATATTATTTAATATCCGTCTGGGTAATTTTAACAAACCGTTTTTTTGGTTTCCACAATTCGATTCTGGCGCAGCGTCTAGATATTTTTCCATATTGTTCAATACCTCGCTGGGATCACCCCCAACCTTATATTCGTCTATTGCTCTATATATAGCCTGCAAGATACGTGTTATATGTGATTATTAATACATAGTATCTAATATATAAAATTCTCGTGTCACAAAGTTCGTTCCCATACTCCGAAATGGCTGGACCGAATCTTATGAATTTTTTTATGCATATTCAGTATGTCTGAGAATCGGACAACATCTATTTTTCATCCCCCTAAATGTTAAGGGTGGTCCCACCCCTAAATTTTTACAGCATACATAAATACTTACAACCTTTAATAGTCACCCCTCAATTTTTATTGAACTAAAAAATGGTTCCTAGAAATAATATACATACATGGCAAAATGACGTTTGCCGGGTCAGCTAGTAATATATAATATGTACACAATTAATTTCAGTTTTGTTTCTATGCGTTGTGACTACAAAAATTATCTATTACGGTTAGGTAAATTCAATAGTGCTAGTAGTTGCAATCGTCAATTCAGTGGCCAATCATCCACAATCATCATTATCCACTTGCTCTGTCCCCAATTATTGAATGGTGTCGGTGCTATTGTGTGTTTTATGCTTTCGTGTATCCATCCCTTTCACACTTCGTGTCAATTTACCATTGCCATAAAAAAATTGTATTACTAACAATTCATTATTTCATAATGTTCATTTGATTACCTCAAACGCAGGCTGTTTATGGTTATGGAATGCTCTCCGACTGCCATGTAATATGAACACTCCCCTATTTGTGGCATCAGCACAGGCATCACCATACATACACTGATCAGTCCGGTAATTATATCTACATGACAAAAGATAAACTGCCTTTTCGTGATAGTGAAAAATAATATTAATAATATCCTGAAAAAAAACCACCATATTATATATTGTCGCTGGAGAATGATCACCTCGTATGTCCAAAAAAACATTTATTTTTTATTCTTAGCCTCTTATGTCATTTAACTGGTATAACCATGAAGTAAGGACATATTTATGTTATTAATAAATAAGTCCTTTTTACTATCCAAAACTATGGACAAAGACACATAATAATATTTTAACGAATATTGCCGAAATGAATAATTTTTTTCGTTTCCTGTAATCTTTGGTTCTGGGACATACGAGGTTATCATTCTACAGCGACAATATAAACTTTTTTATTGATTAACTATGAAGTTAGTGCCTTCAACATTGTTTGCATTGCACTTAATATATATTGAATTTTATTTAAATTAATTTTAATTTACATTTACATATTGCTATGCATGATATTTGTAACTGTTGATCTTGAACCTAAAATCTAACCAAATCTGTTAAGTTGTGGTTGAGCATGACCTTACAGACATAATAAGCATTTGCTTACAATAAGGATAAATTTATTATGTACTTTATACAGCAATGAAACTTAAAATCTAATATGTTCAAGAAGAGCAATGTACCTGATCACCCCAAGGAATGTAAAGCTTATATTTCAACATAATTGGTGTCACATAATCAACCCACGCAAATTCTCGCATTCTTGTCAAATTCATTAGCATAACTCCTGAGTTAAGACCTTAAAAAAAATCATTATGTATGCTATCAATTGCACAAATTTTAGCATAGCTGCTAAAATAATTTCCATATATTTATACTGTCAAAGCTATTTAACACACCTCAGATCATAATTTTGGTTTAAACTGTAATCATGAGAGCTATTGACTATCAATTAAATGGAATTTCACCCATTTTTACAATATGTACATTGTTATATATATTACCATATTTTCCATAAAATGGGTGTTTTGCAAACCGAGGATACCATGAGACATTTGGATTGTCATCTTCGAGTGACATAGCAGATATCTGATATGCATTAAACTGTGAAAAAAAACCCCACAACTGTTCAGGGGGACCGAGAAATATAGTGTCTGTGTCCACATACAGCATAGCATCTACATGTGGGATAAGTTTCTAAAACAAAATTAAAACAATTGAAGCTATAGGCTAGCATTTATAAACAAAATAATATTTAGTTAAAAAACTGACAGGTATGAACAATCTTTGAGCTGCACATTTGCTAAATAAATTCATCCATTCTTCTTTGTGTTCCTCTGGAAACACTATCCTCTGAATCTCAAATTTTAAGTTATCACCAAGTATTTTCTTCCATTTGTTTAAAGTTATGCTAAAGTTATTTCTTAACTTGTCATCAGCAAATATTATAAAGTATAAAGGGGAACTTGAGAAAAGTAGACTTGATTTTATTAAATTTAATGATTCATTGAACCTTGAATCACAAACAACAAATGATATTACCACTCTATCAACATTCTTTGTAACATAATACACATTATCCCTGAAACAAAATATACTTGTGGATGATTCGAAAAATAACTAAAATCTAGAATAAGTTGTACATCGAATTTTAAGATACCTAGAGTTTGAGCGAAGGGTTGCATTATTCTTATACGCAGTTAAAGAGTATTTAGATATATTCGTTGCATAAAAAAGCAAAATTATACAACACAAACACAGGAACAAAAATAGTTTTGTATAATGTTTTCTCATATTGTTAAGTTAACTACGAAGTTAAGACAACTTCATAACAAAGAATATACTGTAAAGGTTTTGTGTCCATTATCGTTTAAAACACATAACTAGCCACGATCAGCACATTAAAATCTTAGATTATATAAGTATCTATTTAATTAACACATTTATATAATTTATATAGTTACATAAACATATAACCACAACATATAACTCATGAAGATATACGTCATGTTTGGAGTTTGGACATCAAACGTTAAAGTTTAAACAATTAACAATAATTTTTTTTTTTATATGGCCCGCACGGTTTGTGCATTGTGGCCCAGGATCAAAAACAGGGAAACGGGTAAAAACATAAAATTATCGGCTGGAAAGGAATTTAGGAATAGAAAATAATTAAACTATAAAATAAAAGATCAATTCTTATAAATCTACATACAAAAGGAGTGTAAGAAAACATAATTACATATATTTACATTCATATTGTCTAAATGTTTATATTATTACTTAAGATAAGAGCTGCTAAAAGTTTATAATATACATGTGGGTTGTAAAGTTGAAAGTAAACTTGATATGGATGAAGGGAAATGAGACCTTCGAGAAGAGCCGACCGGTCGCGCCGAGGACAAACAAACATTATGTGTTTTAAATCACCTACATCATATCCGCATTAAATTTTGACGTAAAAATATTTACATTAGGACAAGAAACATAAATAGACACTATACAAATTTTATTTACAATAGCAGCAATGACTGATAAATTATCTCCGAATGAGGGAAGTGGAAATAAAGAATAGGGGAGATCATTTTTAATGACTATGGCAACACCACCATAGCCGTCAGGGGCCTTAGTCAAGATGCCTTAACAGTAGTGTATGTAGAAAGTCAAAAATTAAGTTTGTATTAAAACTTTTCGACACGAACTGTCATTTCCATACAAATTTAGTTTTCGACTTTCTATATACACTACTGTTAAGGCATCTTGAATAAGGCCCCAGGTCTGTCCTGTCGGAGAATAACATATCTAACCTGGAATTCGAAAAGTCAATTCCGGGCGAAGCCATGTTTCCGACAGAGTGGAGACAAATGGTTCAAATTTATTATGCAAATGGATTAAAACATTTTTATTGCAGATAACGCATCTGCAATTCCACTGGATTATTTGTTCGCGTTCGTGACGTATAAGCGGATTTTAATTTAGTTAAGGCAGCAATCGTTTGGCGACGTTGTTCAGTTACGTTGTTGTTAGAATTGGATTTAATTTCAGTCAAAAGTTGGATTAAATCAGAGATTATGTCTCTATTGTTAACGTTACTGTTTATTAAAGCGACCCCGTTAGAAGGAGCTGGAGCGTCGTAGTCCTTTATCAAATTGAAGTGTTCTGTTTTGTTATACCCCAGTTGTTTTAGTTTGGGGGATGTTGGTTTAGCAAATATTGTTTTCTTATAAGATCTACTATCCGACGGAATCGAGGGAGAGGAAGGCGATACATGTGGTACAGGAGAATTAGGAGTATTCTGGATGTTTGAAAACTTAACTATTTCAGCAAAAGATTTTGAAACTTGATCATGCACTTTATTTGCTTCTGCGTAAGATACAAATTTCTGAGCCATATACAATTTAATTTTAGTCTGCCGTTCATATTCTGGACACTTTCTGTTTGTAGCAAAGTGTAGACCAGAACATAGACAGCAAGACGCGGCATCATCTTGTATGTTGCATGTGTCCCCAGTATGGCCTTGGCCACACTTGTTAAACAGCGGGGCCGAGAGTTACAATTAGACTTAGTATGACCAAATCGGCAACAAGAATAGCACTGAATAGTGGGATATGCATAAAGTTCCACGGGTAGGGCATTGTAGCAGACAAATACATGTTTAGGTAGGGTTTGACCATCGAAAGTTATTACAATAGTCTGTGATGGCTTCCACTCAGGAGGGCTGCTGTTACGTACTTTATAATTTAGTCGTCTAATTTTTATAATTCCTCCGCTGCCTACAGGCAGAGAGATGTTGTCTAATATCTCTTCGGGAGACCATTCCGCGGGAACGCCTCGCACCAGGCCTATTCGGGTCACATTAAATGAGGGAATAAAAGCTTTGTAATTATTTCTTGCCAGGCAAGGGTTATTAATAAATTCGTTTGCACATTTGTGGTCTGAGAATGATAGGGAAATTCGGTTTCTGCCTACCCTTTTGATGCTACCATTAATTATGTTTTTAAAAGAATTTTTCTTGAGAAAATACCCAAATTGGACGGGGTGTAGGGAGGAGATGTCCGTATCTGAAGAAACTTTTTGCGCATGAACTACGAATGGCCCTATGTCATAGGTCTCATAAAACGTTCGGCCTATAGGATTTTTTATGGACTGAGAAACATCTGATGGTGGTGATGGGTGCTGTTGGGTATTAACAGTTGTAGTATCTACACAGTCTACTTTGTTCTGAAAACTATCTAGAGCATTAGCGTTCTTAAGCCCAGTATATATTGAGGGAATTTCAATTTCCGATATTTGGCACGAACAATCAGTGTCCTTTTGTTTGTTCCGACGCGTCGGATTGAATCTTTTTTCCTTTTGTTGCAGTGTTTGCAAATTTTACCTAGTCGCATTCTTTTTCGGTCATTCCGTTGATCCACATCTGTATCTACACTGGACTCGTCCAGTTTAGAAAATCTTTCTATTATAATGTTACAAGCTACCACGGGGGGCGAGCCCCCGGTATGCGGGGGCTTGTCCATTTTTTCGCCTGACTCCAGGCCTTGAGGAAAAAGTATTTAAACTTACCAGATACTGTAGAATATATACACAAATGAATAAACTAAACTATTAAATTAAATTACTACATACAAATATATACAAACTGATCTTTTATACAAGTTAAATTAAATTTAAAAATTTCACAAGAAAAAACACTCCCGCCACGACCAACGTTTCCCGCGCTTTTTTTTTCTTAACAATAAATATACATAAAACAATTCAGGAACTTGAGACAAAGTCACTTTGCGACAATCGTGACCCACTAACGCCAAACGAATATACAGTATGGAAATTGTCACGTGATAAAACGTGAGGTAATGTCATTCTCACATAAAATTTTTTGGGGGTAGTGGGTCAAGCCTGTTGAAAAGTGATTTTCTCTCTCACCCATGGTCAAGGGTCAAACCCAACAAACCCCAGACAGTGGCAGGGACCTCGGCCAGTTACGCGGAAGCGGCAGCATCATACAAAGCTAACGAGCTTTGTGTTGCCGTGATGACTGAGCCTTTCGTGGATATGACACAAGAACAGGCGGATAACATCCGCCTACAAATCGAGGGTAAAATTCAAGATGAGCTCCTGGCGGATCTTGATGCTACCCTAACTACCGAGCCCAACGACATCAGGTTCCGGGGTAAGGCCCATTTCTCGGATGGTGTCCTCAAAACTTGGTGCGAGGACACTTACACTCTGGGTTGGCTGACCGGAACTTGTGATGTCATCACAAATCCAGTACCTGACACCAGGTTGGTGGTTCGGCCTCAATCGGCGATTCCGAACAGGATTCCGTGTCTGCTACATGTACCAGACTACAGTGGCAACACGGAAACACTGAGGAAACTGATCACGAGGCAAAACCGCCACCTCAACATCAGATCCTGGACCCTGACACACGAACGAAGAACTCAGGACCCGACAGGCGTGTCCCTCTTCTTTCGTGTGCCAGAGTTTGAGATCTCTAAAATCAAAGAGCATAATCGGCGTTTATACTACCTGATGGGGAACATCTATATCCGCATCCTGGATAGAGATGGACCCTCGCAGGTGGCCAACGCCCCACCAACTGCTGCCAGCACATCGGGGGTGGCGCCGTCGGGGCCGGGGCTGCCCACGTCTCTGACGGGGGCAGTTTCGGTCACCGGGGCACACGTCCCTATGGAGGTAGCTACACATCCACCGTCACCGGTGCAACTAACTTCGGATGATGAGTTGTTTCAGGAGACCGGGGGGAGTGAATTCAGCGACAGCTGTCTGCGCTCCTCCCCATCGCCATACTGACCTCATCCAGGCTAACCTCCAGCACAGTCAGACAGCGTCGGCTTCCCTACGCAGACTGCTGGAGACCAATCCGAAGACCATCGCCGCGATCCAGGAGCCGTGGATCAGGAATGGCAAGATATGTGGCCTGGGCAGCACCGGTGGTAAACTTTTACTGGATACCTCCGTAAGTAACCCTAGAACTTGCATAATCTTGCCTAAACATGTACCAGCATTTCTAATAAACGAACTCTGTTCAAGGAACCTTACAGCTATTAGGTTACCCAGAAACAATCAACCAGACGTCGTCCTGGCGTCCGCCTACTTACCAGGTGACGAGGACGTGCCCACTCCAGAACTCGGCCTTCTGGCTGACTACTGTGAGAGGGAGAAACTGGAGCTAATCATCGCGGCGGACTCCAATGCGCACCACACGTTATGGGGTAACGCTAATACCAACACTCGAGGTGAGGATATGCTTAATTTTATACTTAGCAATAACCTTATCTTGGCTAACAATGGCTCAAAACCAACTTTTATCAACGCGCGTTCGCAAACTATTATTGATTTAACAATGGTAACTGCTGGTCTGTCAGATCACATACAGGACTGGCACGTATCCAACGAGTTATCATGCTCGGATCATAGGTGGATCCGCTTTGCAATCAAAGGGGAGCTACCTAAACCTCAACCTAGACGTATACCGCGGAGAACCGATTTGGTAAAATTTTATAGACTTATCAGCTCCGAGGTAGACAAACTATCGATACCAACCACCATAAATATACAAGACATAGACAAACATGTAAACAACCTAACGTCCCTACTCCTGACAAGCTATGAACGGTCGTGTCCCCTTACCATACCAAGATGGGGAGGAAGACATAACTGGTGGTGCCCCGAACTGGAGAGACACCGACGGAAGGTCAGGAAGCTGTTCAATAGAGCAGTGAACACACGGTTACCCACCGACTGGGACAAGTACACGGTCGCGAGAAGGCGATTCAAAAAACTTTTACGTACTAGGAAGCTGGAGTGTTGGAGACACTTCTGCACCAGTATTGAAACCAACAACCAGGCAACCAGGGTGAAATCATGCCTCTCCAGAGAGCCCAATCACTCGATCGGTTGTCTTAAAAAACCTGACAATTCATTTACAAAAACTGATTCAGAAACATGTGAACTACTACTGGCAACAACTTTCCGGGTTGCATAATTGCCAACGAACAGGCCTGGCAACCATACTCAGAGAGAGCCACCGACAGCTCAGACTGGCAAGTAGCTCACAAAATAATCACTAATGAAAAAGTAACGTGGGCAATCAACTCCTTCCTTCCATTCAAAGCGGCTGGTTTGGACGGCATCTTCCCAGAACTACTAAGATGGAGTGGGAACTTAATAGTAGACTATCTTGTCTCTGTCTTCCGAGCCTGTATAGCCCACCGATACATACCCTTGAAATGGAGAGAAGTAAAAATCTTATTCATCCCAAAACCAGGTAAAGAGGACTATACCCAAGCGAAGTCCTTCAGGCCTATTAGCCTTACTTCATTCTTCTTAAAAACGATGGAGAGGCTGGGAGACCTGGAGATACGCAGCCGGGTATCGCTATCCAAATTCCTACACCCTAATCAACATGCCTATAGCTCGGGCAAATCAACAGACTCATCACTCCACAACGTCGTGTCTCGCATTGGCAACTCCCTGAAGTTAAAGCAGTCAACCCTTGGTGCATTCATTGACATCGAAGGTGCTTTTGACAAAACAAACTTCACGAGTATAACCAGAGCACTAAGGTCATGTGGAGTACCATCAACCCTTATAGAATGGATAAACAACATGCTAAAACAACGAGCTATACAGTTCACGGTAAACTCCACAACACGAGGCATTGTCAGCAGAGGATGTCCGCAGGGAGGTGTTCTATCGCCGCTACTGTGGAACCTGGTGGTTAATGAACTAATCACAGAACTCAACGCTGACAATCTCTACACTGTGGGATATGCTGATGACATAGCTATCTTGATATCTGGGAACTTTGAAAGCACCTTATGTGACCTCATGAGAAGAGCTTTCAAAGTGATTGAGAGATGGTGCAATGAGCACGAGTTATCTGTCAACCCATCAAAAACAGAACTAATACTTTTTACCAACCGAAGAGTTCTTGGACCGTACAAACATCCGAAACTCTTCAACACTGAACTCATACTCAAGAATGAAATCAAGTACCTAGGTGTGATTTTGGACAGTAAACTGCTCTGGAACAAACATCTAGAACACAAACTAAACAAAGCAACGATCGCCTTTTATCAATGCAAAAAGATGCTAGGCGTGAAAGGGGGCTTATCGCCTAAGATAACATTATGGATATACACTGCCATAATTAGGCCAATGCTAGCCTATGGAGCCCTTGTTTGGTGGCCCAGAACAGAACTTCAAACGGCAATTACCAAACTCGGACGCTTCCAGAGGCTTGCTTTGTCCGCTGCTAGCGGTTGCATGAAAACAACACCAACTGCAGCAATGGAGATGGCCCTGCAGATCTTACCCCTGGACCTACACATACAGCAGGAGGCAGCCCTGGCTGCTATCAGGCTTATGGTACTGGATCTATGGGGAAAAAATCACTACAGTGCACACACAGCGATTCTCAACAGGGCAATAGAGTATCAACCTCTTATTGCTGCGCCCTGTGATAGAATCACTAACCAACTAAGATTTAACAGGAAATATCATATACAACTGAGAGAAGAGGAACATGATCGGTCGACCGTAAATGAGCTACGTATATATACAGATGGATCCAAAACAGGGTCTGGCTCAGGCGCTGGCATATTCTCTCTTGATCTCAACATCAACATACACCTACCCTTGGGCACACAGAGCACGATCTTTCAATGTGAATGTGTCGCCTTAACCGAAGCAGCCAGAGCCGTGCAGCGGCTAGGGATTAATGACTTTTGCATTAAATTCGTATCCGACAGTGCATCCGTGCTGATGGCGCTCGGAAACAAAAAAACCAACAGCAAAGTCTAATGACTGGAGTGTCATGAAGCACTGGAGGTCATAACCCGAACCAATAGGGTTACCTTGCAGTGGATTAAGGGACACAGTGGATCTCTCGGCAATGATGCTGCGGACGAGCTTGCGAGAAGAGGCTCCGGAATGATGCCTGCTGGCCCGTATCCGCTCCTTCCTTTGCCCTTCTCGCTGGTGCGAACCTGGATTCGCCAGAGATCCGCTGAACTCCAGCAACAACGATGGTCGCATGGTGCGGCCTGCAGACAGTCCAAAGTGGCTCTGCCAGCAGTAAACCCGCAACTGACAAAGCGACTACTTAACTTAAATAGAACCAACCTTAAAATAATGATAGGGACAATAACGGGTCATTGCCTCCTAAATAAACATCTTTTTATCCTAGGCGCGACAGACAGCCCCCTGTGCAGAGGCTGTTTCAGCGCAGAGGAAACAGTCACCCACGTAGTCCTGGAATGCGAGGCTGTGGCTAATCAACGTGAAAAATCCTCGGAACGGTGAGGTCGCTCCGGGAAGCCTGTGAAGTGCCCAGGAGACTTCTGTGCTTCTGGAAGGAGCTAGGCTGGCTAAATTAGCCAGGACTCGTACGCACAACGGACTATTCACGAGTCTAATTGCGGAGAAAGGAGTCCTTCTACCCTAACCCTAACCCCCCTCACCCATGGTCACGTGACGAATAACTTCAGCTGTTTATAATTATGCTATAAATATTTAACTCGAACTGTGTTTTATTTAAACTACAGTGTAAACTCTTTATAACTTAAAAATGAGTTAAATTTGTTTGGTTTAACACAAACCCCATACATTAGTTCTCTCTTTATAACGCAACAGCCATACTCTATTACGAAGATAATTAATTAATATAAGAATATTTTCATATTTAGACATCAACAACATACTTAAATGTAATTGTTTTTATAATCAGCTTACAAAACTAACCTTTTGAGGTGCTGAATTTCTAAGAAAGACACCTGGGGTCATAAACAGCCGTCTCGCCTTTAATTGCATTAGCACGTTTGCCATTATTCTTAGACTGTAGGAAATTTTGGTCTCAGCTCACCATTGTCACCTATCGTTTGGTTATCAGTCGTAAATAAACTTGCATACTCTCAAGATGGCCAGTAAAAGAAAAGCGTAATGTGTTAACGTAATTGGTTAAATTTGGTTTTATTTTCTCTTCCGTCCGTATAACAACACAACAACTCTCTATAACGAAAAAAAAAAAAAGCTCGGTCCTTTGACATTCTTTATAATGAGTTTACACTGTATTTATTTCTTAAATTCCATGAATAACTGTTATTTTAATAATTTAACTGTTATTTGGAACTCTTTTGAAGTTAGTACTTCTTTAGGCGCGTTATGAAAAATTTATGAGAGTGAAATTTAAAAAAAAAAAAAAAAAGAAAAAATTGTTTTTAAAATATGTTTACGATGCGCGCGCACCTGTGACAAAAAAAAAAAACAAAATTGGGAGTGTGATTATAGCGTGCGCGAGCGAGATAGGAATAAGACAATCTACAAGTAAAAAGAAATAGAATATGCGTGAAGTTCGTATGCCAAGAATTTTGAATGACCATAATGACATTTGTCATTTACCTTTTAAACAAATAAAGGAGTTTTGATTATTTTTTCAAAGAAATTTATTAATTTTATATTGTGCAATACTGCCAAAGCTACAACATAATTCTTAGTGTTTGGTAGAGATGTTCTAAATATATAATAATATATACTTTTAACTTAATAGAATTTATGTTACACTTAATGTAAGAGAATAATAATAAATAATTATTTATTTAATTTTTCAAATGTAAACTGAACTTAATTGACTATAATGACTCCTTTTCCAGTCTTTGATTATTTAATTGTAATTAATTATTTGCATGCAATCAAAAACTATTTTTAATAATGCCAAAGAAGTATAACTTCTTACGCGCGTACATAAGTACACGCACCCTCTTTTTTTTAATGTAGTAGTTCTTGGTTTGTTTTTTTGGCGGTCATTTATTTAAGGGGATTTTTAGAGGGTAATTTAATCAAGCAATAACTGTTTTTATAATATATGTTTTTTAAAACACGCGATTCTATACTATTTATTTTTAGCATCTAACTAAACCAATAGGTACACTTGGAAAATTACAGTTCGTGTCGACAAATTTTCATGGGGGCTTTTTTTTTTTTTTTTAAAAAGGGGCCAACAAATTTAGTTTTCGACTTTCTACATACACTACTGTTGAGGCATCTTGACTAAGCCCCCAAGCCATAAAATCTTTAAAAAAAGAGAGAGACTAATTATAGATAAATGAATCGAGAATGCGCGCGGGCGCGGGCGGGGGGCGGAAAACAACAAAAAAAAAAAAAAAAAAAAAAAAACCCCACAAAAAAAAAAAAACAACCCCACCCTAAAAAAAAAACCCCCCTTTTGTTTTTTTGGGTTTAGGGACAATTTTGTTTAAAAAAAATTTTTTAAAGAAGGATTGTTTTTTTTTAGGAGGGGGGAAAAACCGCCCAAAAAGGGTTTTTTATTTCACCCACACATTGTTATCTTTGTAGTGAGTAGATGCTTCAGCCTGCATTCTGCAACATTTGTGTGATCTGTGAGCCTGATAAAAATGATTACAAAACAAACCCTATTTTCTTTGAAGTTCTAATAGGTTATTTGTGAACTTAAAACTAAATATAACTACGAATTGTTTAATAAAATTGGTATTTGTACGTTTACATATTTTAAGAGATGGGTGAAAACAAAACAGATGATGTATCTGAACAGATCCTTAATGCTGTTAAAAAAAATTCAAAAGGAATATCAGCTACAGACATGGCAGCCGAAGTTCCAGAATTACCTTCTGCAGAACTTGTTGGAGCAATAAATAAATTGTTGCAACAAGGTTATTTAGATATCTATAAACAGGATGGTGCACTCATTTATAAGTAGGTGCTTTATTGAGACTTCTCTTATTAGATATAATATTTAATTAGTAAACTTAATTGTGATTTAGGATAAAAAACCAGTCGTCTAAGCAAGTAGTAAAAGGAGCAGATAATGAAGAAAAGGTGGTATATAATTTAATAGAAGAAGCTGCTAATAAAGGAATTTGGATTAGAGAAATAAGAAATCAATCTAACCTTACAAACCCACAGCTTACAAAAATATTAAAGAATTTAGAAAGCAAAAAACTAATAAAAGCTGTTAAATGTGTTAATGTAAGTATAAAATTGTAACATGGTTAATTTACTTTAACATGAGAATGTACTTTATCATAAGGTGTTTCAGGCTTCAAAAAAGAAAGTGTATATGCTTTACAACTTGGAACCAGACAGATCCATTTCAGGAGGAGCTTGGTATCAGGACCAAGACTTTGAATCTGAATTTGTTGATATCCTTAATAGGCAATGTTTAAGATTCCTTCACCAGAGAGCTGATAAAATAAAAAACAATCCTAGAGGGCCCATTGTGGGTCGGACTCAATCATATGCAACAGCTATTGAAGTACAGAAATATATCACAGATTTAGGTATAAGTAAAGTTAGTATATTTATAAAAAAAAGTCTACTTTGTTCATTTTATAACACCATAATAAATAACCCCTTAATATCTATTACTTCTTATGAAATTGAGAATAATTTCAGGTAAAACTTGAAGTTGAAGATGTTGTTACAATTTTAAATACTTTGATTTATGATGGAAAAGCTGAAAGCACTGTGTATCCTGATGGCAGTAGAGTGTATAGGGCTATTGAATCACTTATACCACCACCCGGTCTAGTGCAAGTACCATGTGGCATCTGCCCTTTGATTCACAAATGCTCTTCCACGGGCCTTATTACACCACAGGACTGTAAATATATGACTGAATGGCTTGAGCAATAAAATTCATGATCATAAAACATTAACAGAAAAAAGTTATATTCTTTATTTTCTTTTTAGATCCACTACATCCTTAAAATTATAGAACTTTCATCTTCATGTTGTAGAATCTAATTTGTTTGATGTATATACTATAATTTATAATCTATTAATATAATACATGAAGAAAAGCTTAAAATGTAGTGTATTTCTAAAAAGTATGAACATTTTTTTACTACATTTTAAATAAATTAAGGTAACCTTAATACCAAGACTAGGTACGATATAAATAAGCTTTTAAGTTTTTCCATTCTTTCAACTTTCAATTACTTATTTTATAAAAAAAATGCAGTGCATTCCTTCTATCACATAATCTAAGATTTTTTTTTCATACATTTACTATACATACATTCTTCCTTATTCAATATAGTAGAGTTATCCTATTAAAGCATGGACAACATGCACTTTTAAAATAAACTCCTAAAATTATTTTCTAAATTGTAAAGTGCTTCTGAGAGTACAGCTTGCTCTCTTCTATAACTTTTTTTGTTACTGTTTGATTTGACTTCTTGCTCACTCATATTCAACTGAACAAAAAGAGAATTCAAGACATCCATTTGTATATAGTTTAAAGATTGCAAGATAATTCCATTGTTTGGGTATGGAGTGCTAGAGTAATTTTTTTGATGATCAATTGAGTGACTTTCAACACTAGATGGTGGAATTGTGACAATTTCTGTTGGTTTAGATGTCTCAGATTTTGGTGGTGTCTTTCCAGAAGGGTTGTTACTGCTTGGGTTTCTTGGTTTGTTATCTAGAAATATAATAAACTTATGATGAAATGTATAAAATAATGGAAGGAAGCATTTAATCCTTATAACATACCAAGGTCATGAATTAGTCTCTCCATTTCTCTAAGTTGTGTTTGTTGTTGTTGAACAGTAAAATAAAGATCAGTAATTGTTCCAGTAATATGTTTCATTTCCTCTTCTCTTTTAGCTTCTTTAGATGCCTCTTTTTTACTTTGTCTGTAAAGGCAAATTTAATAATATATCTTCATCTTTATATAAGATAATATAACATATAAGAATAAAAAACCTTACCGATTGTATTCAACAAT